TACTACTACTACTACTACTACTACCAATACTACTACTACTACTACTACTACTACGACTACGACTACTACTACTACTACTACTACTACTACTACTACTACTACTACGACTACTACTACTACTACTACTACCACTTCAGCTGCTACGACTACTACTGCTACTACTACTACTACTACTACTGCTGCTGCTGCTGCTGCTGCTGCTTCTACTACTACTACGATGACTACTACTGCTGCTACTGCTACCACTGCTGCTGCTACTGTTACTGCTACTACTACTATTGCCACTACTACTACTACTACTACCACTACTACTACTACTACTACTACTACTACTACTACTACTACTACTACTACTACTACTACTACTTCTACTACCACAGCTACTGCTACTACTACTGCTTCTACTACTACTACTACTACTACTACGACTACTACTACTTCTACTACTACTACTACCACAGCGACTGCTACTACTACTGCTACGACTACTACTACCACTACTACTAGAACTACCACTGCTACTACGACTACTACTACTACTACTACTACTACTCCTGCTACTACTGCTGCTGAGTCTACTATTACTGTTACTATTACTACTACTACTACTACTACTGCTACTACTACTACTACTAGTACTACGACGACGACTACGACGACTACGACTACGACTACTACTACTATTACTACGACGATTACTATTACTATTACTACGACTACTACTACCATGCTACTACTGTTTGCGCTACTACTACTACTACTACTACTACTACTACTACTACTACTACTCCTACTACTACTACTACTACTACTACTACTACTACTACTACTACACTACTACTACTGCTACTACTACTACTTACGACGACTACGACGACTACGACTACTACTACTACTACTGACTATTACTACTACTACTACTACTACTACTACTACTACTACTACTACTACTACTACTACTACTACTACTACTACTACTACTACTACTACTACTACTACTACTACTACTACTACTACTACTACTACTACTACTACTACTACTACTACTACTACTACTACTACTACTACTACGACTACTACTACTACTACTACTACTACTACTACTACTACTACTACTACTACTACTACTACTACTACTACTACTACTACTACTACTACTACTACTACTACTACTACTACTACTACTACTACTACTACTACTACTACTACTACTACTACTACTACTACTACTACTACTACTACTACTACTACTACTACTACTACTACTACTACTACTACTACTACTACTACTACTACTACTACTACTACTACTACTACTACTACGCATATCGATACTACGAATAGTGATACCACTACAAACAACGACAATAATAACGATACTATCAGCCATTGTACTAGTCGCAAGATTATGATATAAACCAGAAAGCTGAATAATGAAGTAATACTACGAAGCGTACTAAACATACTAATACGGAGAATAAGGAAACGACACAGAAGGAGGATGAGGATAATAAGAGGAGTATGTTTACTACCCATAAGAAGAAGACAAATCCGAAACATAGAAATACGAACATCTAGAAGAAGAAGAAGGGTACTAATAACACGATTAATAATAGTATGACGAATAAGACGACGAAGGAGAAGAAGAAGACGAAGGCGAATACTATTCCTGCTAATAGTTCGAGAAATGACAATAATATACACAAGAGGAGGAGGAGGGGGAGGAGGAGGAGGAGGAGAGGGGACCAGAACACGAGGAGCGAAGATAAGAGGGAGGGGAGGGGGAAGAACATTGCTCCCCTCCCCAAGGAAAAGGTGGACCACCTCTCCAGGGACCTGGAGGGCAGCCGGTCGTCCTACCACGCTCTCGAGGCGCGGATTCGCCGGGGAGTGTGGGTCTCCGGTGCCGTTACTCCGCCTCGTCCCACCCCGCCTCGGGCCTCTGCCCCGCCTCCCGTGCCAGCGCTGCCTCCTCCGCCTCGCGCCTCCGCCGCTTCTTCTGCCTCCCGCTCCGTCTCTTCCTCTTCTTCTCCTCCTCCTCCTCCTCCTCCTTCTCCTCCTCCTCTTCCTCCTCCTCCTCCTCCACCTCCTCCTCCCCCTCCTCCTCCTCCTCCTCCTCCTGAAGTTGATGTGTAGTCGTCCTCCCGAAATAAGGGAGGGGAAGCATGAGTGCCCAGCATGTAGCGAGGTACGTATATGACAGAGCGGCGTGATCGCCGCGATGGCTCAAGCCATTCAGTGAGTAGCCTCACCCGAGTGCGAATCCTGTTTGCGGCGGCAAGCCCCTCCTCCCCATCATTCCATATCAGATAATCCAGATTATCAGAGTCACGACGATCCTCGTGGTCCTCTCCCTCTTCGTGGCCCTCAGGGCCAACAGGGCTCTCAGGACCGGCACGCTGAGAGTGCCAGTATCACCTCCTGTCGGCGGACGCGCTGATAGACGACGACGGCGGCGAACCTCTGGAGGCGTTGTCCCAGGAGGAGGAGCGAGAGGAAAACAACTTGGTAGCGGAGCAGGTGCGATCCCGTGCCTGCTCCCAGGACAACATACCACTGCGCTACTACGACTACGTCATGGCGAACGCCCCGCAGATGACCAGTGGCATACCAGCTGGACCTCATATCATGCAGTCAAATACGAAGACGCCACCGGGCTGGGACCCCGCAAGGGAGTCCTCATATCCACTCAGAGATTGGACCACGGACATCCGCATGTGGGAAGCAATGACACATATACTGGCACGCTCGATCGCTCCGGCCGTGGTCTTGCAGCTATCAGGATTGGCCAGAGAGATATCGAGAGAAGTGCCGCCAGATCAACTACAAGACGGAGTTTACATGGGCCTCCGTGACGGAGCTGGACATCGATGGTTTTCGGGGCTGGACCTACTGATTCACGGGCTGCGACGCAAGTTCATGCCACTGGAGGTGGAGACCGCGATCGCGAACATGACGGACCTGGTTGCTTTTCGTCGACGGCCAGGCGAACCTATTGACCAGGCTTTGGCTCGATTCGATCTTCTGAAGTTCAAGGCTGAGCATCTGGGAAATTTCCACATGGGAATTCCGAATTTGGCTTGGATGTTACTCGATGCTCTGGGTATTCCAACGCCACAGTGGGCTCAATTTCTGGCACCAACGGGAGGTAACTTACCAACGAATGAACAGGAGCTTTCAAGTCTTACCTCTTTTATCAGGCGTCAGAATCATCTTTACGAGCGGAGTGGACTTGCGCAGGCGGCTCATCAATCCAGGCATCAGCATTTCACAAACCCCACAAGCTCCGGTGACGATTTCTACTTCACGGACAGTTCACAGGACACTGGCGCCCAAGTGGGAGTACCACCGCCACCGATGCCCTACTACCCCAGCGCATCGTCCTCGTCGAGGTCAGGTGTACCACTCGGCGGAGTTGCTGGGGTATCGAATGGATCAAATACAGAAGGATGCTGGCGCAGCAATTGCCATATTATATTCTACGACCGGGAAGATCCGGACTCCACCGAGACGAGCGATGATGACGGCAACGATTTGGCGGAGCCGACCTTCCACATCAGTGCCCAGATGAGCGACAGCGATCTGTATGAAGTCTACGCTTTGGCCAAGAAGCACTGGGGGAGGCGAGCAGACAGACTTCCAAGGCGCCGTAGATACAAAGGCAAGGGCAAGGGCAAGAAAGGGGTCAGATTTCAGAGAAGTAGTTGATGGTCTTTTCTTTCTGAGGCAGGAGACGGAGCTCTTTGCCCCGGGCGCGCGTGGAACACCCATGAATACTACAAGGGCAAGGGCGAGAAGACCAACCCGAGAGGCGCGAACGGACAACCACTTCGATGTGACCACTGCAACAGCGAGAAGCATCTATGGAGGAAGTGTGACGCTCCGGGAGCTGACGATTACCGACGAAAACGGGCTACCTCAGGAGGAAAGGGTTATGTGACGACAGAAGGAAATATGAGTACAGGAGGAGCCCAACCAGCTTCAAGTTTCACCAGCGCGTTGCAGCACTGGCAGCAACTCACGGGCCAGACGGCAGAGTCTACGGCGACCCGACACTTCTTCGCCATGCCGAGCAACATGGAGTCACAGGTGGACGTGTCCGAGGATGACGAGAAGGAGTACGAGGACAGCTACTACCCGGACGTGGAGGAGGAAGGCTCGCGCCTGTGCGAGTCGCATGCACGGCCAGACCTTCAAGAGGGGGTCCGCCGTGACTGTGCTTCATCCGCATCTTGGGATATGCTATCGACTCCCTCGGAGTTCGTGGACATCGGCAACGAGACGATTCAGATGATTGAACAGGCGAAGGCTCGGATCATAGATGACCCGGACACGGAGGCAACTCTTGGAGAACCTCGGTCCAACGACGAGCAGATCGACTCAGGAACCAAGCCCGCTGGATTGAAGTGGTTTGTGGGACCGGCGTTCGAGCGATACGATGAGACACGACAGGTATTTCTAGAGGCGACACGAATTGATGGTAAGGAGTGCCTACTGATAGATCCAGGTGCGTATGACAATTTGGTGGGTGACAGATGGGTTATGCGAATGGGAGCTCTGGCAAAACGGGCATGTCTGGAACCGACGCAACGTCTGATGGATCAATCGATCGGGGTTGAAGGAGTCGGTACCAATGCTCAGATCGCCAAGGAGGAGGCGACGAGGCCAGGCGCAGCCAATGACGAACGAGGCAAGGTGCATCAGATAAGCTACAATGCCCCAGTGGTTCCCGATTCCGATATTCCCGCTCTCTGGGGAAAGCGTAGTCTGAAGCACAACAGGGCGGTGGTTGACATGATCAACAACAAATTGTACCTGTGTGGCCCTGGAAGAGCACAGTTCACACCACCGCCGGGGACGCCCACCTTCAATCTAGAGGACTCGCGATCAGGACATCTGCTGTTGCCTATCTCGCATTTCTTCGGCAACGGTAAGGACAAGAAGGCGCGCGCGAAGCAGGAGCCGGCCACCTGGCATGCGAGTGCGCCGGCGATCGTCAAGCCCATGATCAAGGATAAGGCGAACGAGGACGAGGCAGACGCGCCGACGCATGAGCCGTCACCGGCCACTCCCTCGGCGCCTGCGGTGCACAGAGGGCGCGGACCGCCGCTACCAAGCGGCGGCGGTGCCGCAGGAAACCATATAGCTTGGCATCTGGACGTCCCCGAGCAAGACCCTGATATCATAGTGATAGACGAGGACAATAGCCATCCGATCCGCGCGAAGCTGCTGAGTCCGGCCAACATCACCTACACCCGCCTAAGTCTTCTGCACACCTCGACCATGGAGCATATTCTCCGACTCTTGGAGCGAGGGAAGTGTCGAGGTGTTTGGATGCGACTACATTCCCTCATACCTGACGTTACGAGACGACAAGGGAAGACCCGAAAACAAAGGCAAATATTGATTGCGACCTCCATACTCATCGCGCGCTTGATTCAGCTTCGGTGCGTGCTGGTGGTCGATTCTCAAGCCACGAGTGAGGCCTGGCAGGAGGATGACATTCTCAGAGCGACGGCAACGACACTGCCAGGATATCGGATGACAGATCATCGATGGTGCAGCTACTTAACGTCGGGCAAAGACATGGCCCCGACGACCAGCCAGAGATTCTTTTCCAACCTGGACCTGCTTCCCGACTCGTGCAGCTGTGGTCGGAAGATCTCAGATCACCGCAGATCGACAGGGTTGGAACACGTTCAGCTCGAATGTCAGTTTATGACCGTATTTTGGCAGAACCGACTTCGAGACAAGCTATTCGATGCGGTTCGAGGAGAAGTACGTGACGACAAGGACACGGATCGAGATGCACGATATCCGCAGACGGGACCGGATGAGCCCGTTGACTCCCACATGGTGGTAACGAAGTCGAAGACGGTCAGCTTCTATCCGACCGACTCTGCCAAAGCCTACAAAGAGAAGCTGAAGTCCAGGAAGGCCGAGGGACACGAACCGAAGAAGAAGGTCAAGAAGATTCTAGATCCCGAAGTCATGGATGACTGTGGCGAGGACCTCGGAGAGCTCAACTACCTACGGAACGAGGAGGTGTGCTGGTGAGAGATGCCGGACAACGAAGTGGAGGATTACTATCTGGAACCTAGCGAGTTTAAGACGGATGATATCATCGGAAGACTTGGAGACGACCGTCCGCCAGATCGAGAACGACACCTCTTTGGCATCCCATCGGGTCGATCCTTCCTGAATCACATAAAGCAGACCGAGAATAGTCTCTTCGTTGATGTTGCCGAAATCATGGGAGGAGAAGGACGCGCCACTCAACTACTCGTTCGACGACATTACGCGGGAGGTCGTAATTTTGATGCTCTCATGGGCGTAGATCTCCTCCAGCGTGACGAGGAAATGGAGCTCTACCAATATCTGAAGGAGGAGCGACCCTTTGTGTTGGTGATGGCTCCTCAATGTATTGGCACAGCTGGATGGTGCACGGTCAATGAGTCGATCGGCAGCGAGGTGCACCGTCGCAACGCGGAGGTCTCTTTCAGGCTAGGACAGATTTGTGCGAAGGCGGCTCACATTCAGCTGGGCGGAGGACGCCACTACGTCAATGAGTTGCCGAGGGGAAGCCGTATTTATCGAACTCCAGAATGGATGGGTCTGGCACGGAAGAATCTTACTTGGGTTCAGTGCAACATGTGTATGCTGGGACTCGTCAACTCGAAGAAGGAGCCCTTGAACAAGCCGGAGGAGGTATGGGCGAGTCACGAGGTGCTGATCTATCGGCTGCGTTCCAAGGAGTGTGATCGACAGCGCCGGCATGGGGAATGCTCTGGGCGTGACACCAAGCCTTCACAGGTGTGGACATGGCAATTCGCTCGTATCTTGGCCGATGGCATCTCAGAGTTGATATGGCTTCACGAATTGGACTTGAGGAAGCTGATCTACCCAACCGTGGCGGCGTACCTGAGGATGAACGGCGAAGGAGTACCCGCTCCTATTGACCATCCTCCACCTGGACTACCAGCCCCCGCAGCAGCGGCAGCGGCAGCAGATGTACCTCCGCCACCACCCGCGCCCGAAGAAGGGTTGGATCCGCGTGCTCGTAGGGCAGCGATCGGACCTCATCTCTGCCCCGGATGTCGGAGAAATCGAGTCAGCACACATCCGACACACAACCGCATCCCTGGACAGTGTCGACATCCGCTGGCACAGCCGCTGGAGCACAACTGCCCCGCGTGCAGAACGGGTCGGGATCGGCGCGACCCCCGCCACACTTTCGACACAGACTGTCGCCTCCTCATGGACGAGCCCAGAATGATTGGGACGAGAAGATCGGGATCCGCTCATGCGCGGGATCCGCGAGTACCGGCAGCACGAGCTGCGGGCGCTGGTCATCGAGTACATCCCCGAGCAGGAGAAGAAGAGGAGGACGCAGCACCACATCCTGAAGCCGGACCCTCAGGTGCTGCTCCTGCCGCAGCTATGGAAGGCGATGATGACGTGCAACCTCATCCTGAAGCTGGACCCTCGGGAGCGGCCCCGGACGCAGTAGCGGAGGAAGCCATTCTTCCTGCTGGAGAACCAGGGCCTCCGGCCAGGGCAAGCGGAGACGAGGTGGCACTGAGAAGACGCAGATTTCAGGATGCTATGGCCCAGATCGACACAGGAGCGGACTGGACGACTGGACGCAGTGGACATGGGACGTGCTATTCAGGGGCTGAGATCAGCTGTTCCTGGAATGGTGCAACGTACTCTACGTCGCATGCATTTACGACTATGGCACGCTCCGGCCCAACGACTACGGGACCTTCTTTCGGCCGCGGGTCTACCGCGAGAAGTGATCAATATGGTGCAGGACGTCGTGGACACTTGCACCGTCTGTCGGGAATGGCAGCGACGAGGCGAAAAGTCGGTGACAAGTTTGACGTTCACCACGACCTTCAATGAAGGAATTCAGTTTGATCTGCTTTTCCTGGACGACGGTATCGTGGTGCACTTGATCGATATGTGTATCAGGTGGGCTCAAGGTCTCTTTGTGAAGTCAAAGGACCCGGGTGATGTTCTCCCGACCATCACTCATATTTGGTTCCGAGTCCACGGTCCTCCGAAGTTCATCATTTCGGACCAGGAGGGAGCATTGTTCTCGGATGAAGGAGCTATTTGGGCAGATCGATGGAAGGTGGACTTGAGACCGAAGCCCAAAGGAGCACATGCTCATGTTATTGAACGGAGGAACGACTTACTTCGGACACAGTATCACCGAGTTAGAAGTCAAGCAAATTAAGAAGGCATCCGAGTTTCGAAGGAAGAGTTGCTGGACGAATCTTTGTTGGCCATGAACACCCTCTTGAGCGTTCACGGGGCCACGCCATATGCGGCTCTGTATGGTCGGGTTCCGATCATTTTACTGGAGCTCGGAGGGGGAGGATCTGAGTTCGACGACGAGTCTGGAGGCGCAGTGTCTCGTCATGTCCATCGAGTCAGGGAGTTGGCCCTGGCCAACATCGCGCAGGGCAACGCGCAGGAAAGGCTGAAGATGGCGGCTCGAACGCAAACGAGACCAGCGGCTCAGCTCGGAGATCTTCGTGCAGGGGACTCGGTCGATATCTTCCGGGACCCGCCGAACAAGGATGTCACTGGCTGGCGAGGACCCTGCAAGGTAGTTGCCATGGATCGAGCTGACGAGGGCATCATCGATGTACGATGGCAGGGTCGCACGCTGCCGTGCCGCCCAGCCGATGTTCGCAAGGCAGTGACATGGTTGACTCTCATGGCGGCTCCTGGCCGCGGTGACACCAACCCGTACCAGCTCTTAGTATACTACGTGGAGAACATGGCGGCGGGCACTACGTTACTCCTGGGATATGAGATCGGCGAGGATGGACACTGGAGGATGACGAAGACCAGTCGTCGGCTGCCGACTCTGACGACGGCAGCTTTCCACGTGGCTGCCTGCGACTTTCAACTATATGGAGTCGTGGCCACGAGACTAGGGTACGGTTCGCGAGAAGTTCCAGCTGCCCGAGGACATCACACGTGCATGATCGTATGGTGGCTTCCAGGAGAATCGATTGGCTATCACCACGCAAGTTTCGATCCTCGAGCGAGGGCGAGTACACAACATCTGATGGGGCCAGGCTTTGGACGCGTGTGCTGGGTGCAGTTTCTAATGGTGGAAATTTCTACGGCCGAGGTCTTGCGACAGATTGACGCTCACGTACCACACGTTGGAGGTCCTCACCAGATGCCCGACTTTCCAGCACCACGCGGTCAAGTACGGCCTCGCGATCCGCATGATGTGGAAGAACGACCTGATCGATGGCATCGCTGGCCCACACCAGAGGCCACCATCGACGAGGAGTCAGAGGCATCTGAGCCTCAGGCTCAAGGGGTGGCTCATCCCCGAGATGCGGAGGCGGACCCCGAACGGCTAATACCTACGTGGCGACCATTTCAACAGCCGTATCGGATAGAGCCAGACGCCAACTCAGATGTGCAGGACCTGTGGCTGGAACCCTGGGATCCCGGATGGATGCGACACGTGAGGACAGAGATCAGCTTCTTTCACGCTATCCTTGACGGCCAATCACCGCCGGACGCTGAGTACTGGTTGGATCCTCGAGTGTTGGAAGCTGTTGAGGTGGCTACTTACTTGAGAATACAGAGAAGGAGATGCAAGTTCTGGAGGTGGAGTTCGAATCAGAGATCTCCAGGCTTGTGATCATGACCACCGATGCGCGCGACTTGCCCAAGTCTGAGATCTTCTCTCTCTTTGCGAACGACGAGGGCCATCGCGTTATTCTGTCCGTCAACTCGACGGGGAAGACCAAGATGGTTATTGAACGAGAGGCTGACGAACTCAACAAGGATGACCTGATCAAGCATCGAGTGGAGGTGGAAAAGGCTATGCCGAAGGAGCTAGGCAACTGGATTGAGTTGGGTGCGCTCAAGCAACGAAGCAGGCTAGGGTGCACCAACTTGATGGACTCTCGATGGGTTATCCGTTGGAAGAAGCAGCCAGACGGTAAGTTGGCAGTCGAAGCACGACTATGCATCAAGGGCTTCCAAGATCTGCAGCAGGATCGTTTGGATACCTTCAGTGCGACCGCCTCGAGGCAAAGCCAGAGGATAGTGAATTTCATCGCGGCAAGTCGCCCCAAGTGGGCGTTGTGGTCTTGTGACGTTGGCAGCGCATTTCTGAAGGGACTTACATTTCAAGATGTGGCAGATATGACAGGGGAGCCCCTCAGAACTGTTCAGTTGGACCTGCCCAAGGACACAGTAAAGATCGCAAGGCAGTTTGAACCATTATCCAACTATGATGTGAGTCGGCACTGCTTGGAGATGGTACGTCCAGGTTTCGGTCTCAAAGATGCGCCAAGGTTATGGAATCTCAGGCTAAAGCAGGTAATGACGAAGCTTCAACTATTGCCGTTGGTGACCGATTCCCAATTTTACTGCAAATGGGCTGGCTCCCGATGTGAACCTGTTCCTCGCGAGCTAGTACCCATGAACGCGGACAAGGACAAGGCCCGAGGCACAGACGTGTCATTCACCGACCCGGAGATAGCGATCGAGGACTTGCAGATGGTGTGCAGTACACGCGTGGACGACCTCAAGGGCGCCTCGACCGAACCGATTGCCGACGCCTTTATGGATGCTCTCGAGTCGGAGTTCGGAAAACTCACAAGGCAGAAGAGAAGGTTCGAGCACTGTGGCGTTGTTCATGATCAGCAAGAAGACGGATCTGTGCGGTGCTCTCAGGATCACTACGCGGCTCAACTTCGGCCGATGCAGGTAGACAAGATTCGGGCTGATGAAGAAGCCCTCGGACCGAACATCATTTTGGTCACTCTTGGGTGGAGCAGCCTGGATGTTAGCTACGCGAGCAGATGTTGCAGTCCATATTGGATACCTACAGCGACACGCTCATGAACCTTGCTGGAAACATGTTCGACACTTGAACTCAGTTGTACGCTGGATCAAGAGAAAGAAGAGTTCGCTTGTTTACTATTCAGTACCTCTACCATGGAGTGTTGTGGGTTTCCCCGACAGTGCTTTCCGGGCGACCGAGCCGGACTGCCTAGCTGTGAGAGCGGCAGTTATCGCGGTTGCTGGTCGGGACTTCATGCCAAAATGGGGACTCTGTGCAGCAGTGGAGTTCTACTCACGAAAGCAACCTCGAGTATGTCGTTCTACTTTCTCGGCGGAGCTGGCAAGCGTGGATGATGGTATCAGCAATGCACTGTTGACGCAAGTGATGGTGCGTGAGATCGTTCACGGCCCTTTGACGGCGAAACAAATTCAGAGATGCATGGATACAGGAAGGTTACCAGTTGATTTGCATGTCTGCACGGACAACAGGGGCCTGTTCACGGCGCTGGGTGCAACAGAACTGAAGGCACCAGCGGAACCTCATCTTTTATATTTACTGCGCGCTCTACGCGATAGACTTGAAGCAGGTACTCTCTGTAAGCTCTGGTGGGTGGACACTAGAGCCATGCTCAGCGACGCGTTAACCAAGGGTGGACTGGCTCGAGAACCTATCTTGAAGTTGTGGGAGACGGCAGTGTTGATGATAACTGGAGATGAACCCCTGGCTTTGTGCTTGCGGGGTCCTCACAAGGATACCAGTGAGTGGGAATATCAGTGAATCTTGATCTTTGCATACTTCGATGGATTGCAGGATTTTCAGCGAAGATTGGTTGACTGTATTTGCAGGGAGAATATTTTCCCATTCTTTTGCGTCTCCGCTGTGGTAGACCGTATACGTGGCTTGCGCGAGATTTAGTGTTTCTCGCTGTATTTCGTTCTTCAATCACTGCTATGCTTTGTTCATGGCAGTATACATCAATATTGTATGCTATTGTGGTATTGACAGTAGCTTCCGAGGTGTTCTTTGTGAGTTTACTTCAGCCGTCTTTCCCCCCCTTTTTAGCCTCTGGAGTTCCCGTGTTGTTTTCAGGGTGCTCCAACATAGAGCGTTGTTTTTTTGGTGACTTGCCTATCAGAGGTCGGTTGCCAGTGGCGGGCCAGCCGCAAGAAATGATCTGCTGTGCTCTCAGTGCGTGTGCGTGGGATCAGCTCGTAGAGTTTCGCTGCGTTTTCCCACCCCGAGTTGATGTGTAGTCGTCCTCCCGAGATAAGGGAGGGGAAGCATGAGTGCCCAGCATGTAGCGAGGTACGTATATGACAGAGCGGCGTGATCGCCACTTTGGCTCAAGCCATTCATTGAGCAGCCTCACCCGAGTGCGAATCCTGTTTGCGGCGGCAAGCCCCTCCTCCCCATCATTCCATATCAGATAATCCAGATTATCAGAGTCACGACGATCCTCGTGGTCCTCTCCCTCTTCGTGGCCCTCAGGGCCAACAGGGCTCTCAGGACCGGCGCGCTGAGAGTGCCAGTATCACCTCTGTCGGCGGACGCGCTGATAGACGACGACGGCGGCGAACCTCTGGAGGCGTTGTCCCAGGAGGAGGAGCGAGAGGAAAACAACTCCTGATCCTCCTCCTCATGCTCCTCCCTCCTCCTCCTCCTCCTCCTCCTCCTCCTCCTCCTCCTCCTCCTCCTCCTCCCCCCTCCTCAAGGAAGGGACACTCGCCCCGAGCCCGCAGCTGGCGTGCCCTCCGCAGCGTCCGCGGGGGCGGCCCCGCGGCGAGCGTTGCGCAGGTGAAGTCGCGCGAGGCACGGGAGCGGCTCGATGCGGACCGGGCCTCCCTGGCGGAGGAGCGCGGCCTCGCCCTTGGGCGCGTCGAGGGGTGATGCTGATGCCGGTGATGGTAGCGATGATGATGTGAGGACGAAAGTGAGGATGATAATTCTGTTGCTGCTGCTGATGGTGATGTTTATGATGGTGATGGTGATGGTGGTGGTGATGATGGTGAGGGCGGTGATGGTGATGGCAATGGTCATGACGACGACGATGATGTTGTTGGTGGTGGCGATGCTGATGATGGTATGATGGCGGCATGATGATGATGACGATGTTGTTGATGCTGTTATTGATGGTGATGGCGATGGTGGACACGATGATGACAATGGTCTTCCGTATGATGATTATGGTGATGAGGATGGTGACGCTGATGATGACTTCGATGATGATGCTGATGATGATAAGTGTGATCGTGAGGACGATGATGATGATGATTATACTGATGATGATGAGAAAGATGCCGATGATACTGATGATGCTGATGCTGGCGATGGCAATGCTGATGAGGTAGGTGATGCTGATGATGACGGTGCTGGTGCTGGTGATGATGGACACGATGTTGATTGGTGGTGAGGAGGATGACGATGACAAATATGACGACCAGATTGATCATTATGGTGATGATGTTGACGATGATGTTGATGGTGATGATGCTGACGACGATGATGATGATGATGAAGATGGTCAGGATGATCACGATGATGATGGCGATGCTGATGATGATGCAGATGCCGATAATGGTGACAATCGCAACCGTGCTGATGAAGTTGATGATGATGCTGTTGCTGATGATGGTGCTGATGATGGTGACGCTGCTACTGATGATGATTGCGACTATGCTGATGATGCCGATGATGCCTCTGTTGCTGATGCTGATGATTATGATGCTGTTGATGATGATGCTGACGCTGCCGTTGATATCGGTGCTGTTGCTCATGATAAGGTCGATGGTTATGCTGATAATTACGACGATGCTGAAGATGCTAATGTTGGTGGTAATGATGATGGTGTTGCTGATGGTGATGATGATGGTGATGGTGTGGATGATGATGCGGATGAGGATAACCTGATACTGAGGAACATGATGAGGACGAAGCTGATGATGAGGCTTATGATGCTGATGATGATGATGCTGATGATGATGATGTTGATGGTGGTGGTGATGATGAGGTTGCTGCTGCTGCTGATGATGATTATGCAGATGATTATGATGATGATGATGATGATGATACTGATTTTGAGTATGATGATTATGATGATGATGCGGCTGATGCTGATGCTGATGCTGATGCTGATGATGATGATGATGATGATGATGATGATGATGATGATGATGATGATGATGATGGTGATCCACGCGGCTGAAGGGGCCGGGAGCTCCCCGCTAGGACTGCCCTTCGGACCGGGGCGTTCTCCTTTGGCCCTTCGGAGGCAGCGCTCAGTATCTGGCCCAAGGCACCCTGGCAGATTCGCCTGAGTGCCGAAAGGCCGCCCCCCGCCCCAGCCGAAGCATGCAAGATGCGACATCCGAACAGTCCCGGCGACTCAGTCCACGACGCCAGCGGGTTGGTACGCAGCAAGCGCTATCAGAGACATCAGGCGAGCTCAGGGTCGTTTAAGGCCTGAGAGGCTTCGAGCGAGACCCCCAAGAGGATGCTGGCCGCCGTGAGAGCGATGCGGGAGGCGGCCCCCGCCTCCAGGAGCTCGTCCGCAGACAGGAAGCAGAGGCCCACGTCCTCGCCCAGGTCCAGGTCGCCCTCGCGCTTGCACGGGCCCTTGAGGTTCTCCCGCCTGCCCTCGCAGAGACCCTCTTCCTCCGCCAGGTCCAAATCGAAATTGCGCTTGCCCATGCCCTTCAGGTCCTCCATCCCGTCCTCGCAGAGGCTCTCGTCCTTGTCCAGGTCCAGACCGAACTTGCGCGTGCACGGGCCCTTCAGGTCCTCCAGCCCGTCCTCGCAGAGGCCGACGTCCACGCCCAGGTCCAAGCCGAACTCGCGCATGCACGGGCCCATCGGGTCCACCAGTCTGCCCTCGCGGAGGCACTCGTCCCCGACCAGGTCCAGACCGAACTGGCGCTTGTGCAGGCCCTTCGTGTCCTCCAACCTGCCCTCGAAGAGGCCCTCGTCCTCGCACAGCTTCCTCCAGGAGGGGAGGGTTGCCGTCTTCGGTGGCCTTCCCGACGCCCCGCCGCTCCGCCAATGGCGTGGGCAGCGTCGGTTCTGCCGACGGGTCCCCGACGACCCCTCCTGGAGTGACTGGATGCTCGCGTCCGCGCCCAGGTCCAGGCCGAACTCGCGCATAAACGGGCTCTTCGGGTCCTCCAGCCTGCCCTCGCGGAGGCCCTCGTCCAGGTCCAGGCCGAACTTGCGCCTGCACACGGCCTTCAGGTCCTCCAGCCTGTCCTCGGAGAGGCTGCCGTCCTCGTCCAGGTCCAGACCGACCTCGCGCTTGTGCAGGCCTTTCATGTCGTCCAGCCTACCCTCGCGGTGGCCCTCGTCCTCGTCCAGGTCCAGACCGACCTTGCGCACAAGCATGCCGTTCAGGTTCTCCAGCCTGCCCTCGCAGAGGTCCTCGTCCTCGGCACCGAGAGCTGGGCAGTGCTCTTCGGGTGCAGCTTCGAAGTCGCCGAAGGACACCGCGGCCGCCTCAGGGAGCGGGGGCAGCCAGCCCAGGCGGGGGCCTGCGGCGGCCCGCGCTATGCCCGCTGCGGACACGCGCGCGAATCCGCCCGCGGGGACCAGCAGCGCGTGCCATGCGGCGTTCCGCCGCCGCCTCATTTCGCCAGGGACGCGACCTCCCGTGGCGGCGAGGCACAAGGCAGGGCGCGCAGCAGCCTCACGGTCCTGACAGGAACCTGGGCCGCCTCTGCCCGCCTTGTTGATTGTTGCCTCGGTCTCCAGGAGGAGCCGTGCCCGCGCCCGACGGCGGGCCGCCGAGGCGCCTAACTCGGCCTCTTCCTTCTTGCGCAGCGCACCGACACGTCTGACCCGCCTGATGGGCCGCCCCGCCATCGCACCTGTGGGCAGCCCCACGTAACCATTGTTCATCTTCCAATTGCGCGCCGCTGACCGCAGAGCATGGAGGCCTGCAAGATATCTGGAGGAGACACTTGAGCCAACATGGCTACGGATGATGATGATGATGATGATGATGATGATGATGATGATGATGATGATGATGATGATAATGATGATGATGATGATGATGATGCTGATGCTGGTGCTGGTGCTGGTGCTGGTGCTGGTGCTGGT